GCGTCACGCTCGGTAATTACCATCCCGGACGAGTTTTCCAAACAGGTTCATGTGACTAGCTCGTTAAAACGTGCACCGATATAGAGCTAAACAACATGGGTGGCCACATTTCACACCCTCCAGCTCATTTGGTTGCTCTACACTTTCATCTGGAAAGTAACGCTAATCAGGCCAAGCGAGATTCCCGTCTATATGGAGATGTTGAGCATGCGGTAGATTCAGGGGGAGGGGGGCTTCGAAGTTCGGCATTCTGCACATTTGCTAGTTCCCACGTTCCTGGTGGGGGGGGGCGCGGAGTGGGGGGGGAGAGCTCTTACGCACCTCACTGGAAAACTCGCACGGATGCCAGGTGCTGTGGGGACTTAGAACTCAATCCCTTTAATAGTGTCAACTTTTCATTTTTCTCGCTCCCACGTCTGCATGACATCCTGACCGTTGTGACCTTACACATTTCAGCTTTTCATGCATGATACATGGCTCGCTCGTCCCGAAGCATATCCGCCACCGCCACCCCCCCCCCCCGCCTGCTCGTGGCAAGATTTTTGCACCCTTCGATACCTAGCGATACCTAGTCATCCATGAGGCCACGTACGTAACATCTTGCATATTGGATGGCATTTTGCTAGTTTGCTAGCTCTTTCAATTTGCTCACCTTTGTGAAAGCTGTGAACTCGTGAATCTTTGAAACGAAAGAGTTTCGCTTGCTTTGTTTAGGCCTGTGAGCTCCTGATTTTGCGAAATGGTGGGAGCATGAGGGATAGCTATTCTACTTCAACACTCCTTATCCCTGAGACGGAGTAGGCGTGGCTTTTGAGCATGGCATAGGATTTCTCGTGGGATACTTCAATTTGAAACAACTGCTATCTTGTTCTGTGTTAGATGTAGACATGATTACGACTGCTCCAAAATGACAATATCTCACGAAAACCTGGGCCGCCGCCATTTTAAAATCAAGTACGCAGCCACGCCTACCCGATCTCAGGGATTTCGAGTATACAACAGTTCAGAAGCCTGCCTTCATGTTCATGAGAATGAATGTAGCTCCCCCCCCCCAGATCGAATATCGCCCCTGTACTGCTCTTTCAGATTGCAGAACTTAACTCCACAATAACTTCACGGGTAAAAGTTGGCGCTGTCGCGGGCTAAGAGATTTGCGCTCTCCGCGGGTGTGCTCGGTTCGAGTGTGGCCTCTTCCAAAATGAAGTCGTGCCTTTCCTGCGATATTTTTCCGCAAAAGTATCTGTGTAATGGAGAGCAAAGAGAGAAGACCAAGGTCTTCTCTTTTTTTATACGAAAAAAGCTTGTCCACCAAATTACTCTGCTGAATTCTGTGTGAGAAGCAGAGCTGCCCTCTTAAAAAAACAGCTACCGTTGGGCGTGTAATGATTAAGACTATTCGCCGTAATTCGAAGGGCATTCTCCAAAGCCAGGCAGTTTGTTCTAAGCAAGGTTTAGTCGGTGTTACAGTCTTATTTATCACTAATCAGAGACGTGCTACGGAGAACTCGTCAGCTTGATTTTTGTTTGCATGAAAGTAGGAGGCGTGCTTGCAAAATTGCATCAATTCAAATTCAAACCACAGGAAAAAATGTAACTTCTATTCATGTGTATCTCTAACTGAATAACCCATGTATTAAAACAAGATGGATTTCTAGTGCACGAGAAGTCACAGCTACTGCCTTTTTTCTAGGAGCAGTTAATTGCTGGGATACGTGAGAAAAAATTGTAAAAAGGAAGGAATCATGACGAATCATTTCAATAAAACAGCAGAGCTTTGATAAAACCAAATGCCATCCGGAGAAAAGCTTTCGACCAGCTTCTCACCGGACGAGTTTTGCCGCTGCAAGCCCAACCACGGGAATCTCGTCCGCAAGCCTTTTGTCTTCTTTTTTTACAAAGACGGCGGTGTTCTCATTCTTCGGAATTGACGTTTATGTATGATATGAATCATGTGATCATTCCAAAGATTCCTGATTACAGGTCAATCCTCAAAAGCATGCTGCTTAGCCTTCAGTATTAAAATAGTTCGGTTATTGTTAATCCTTGCCACTTGCCGACATGAATACTGCTCGTCTGTTATCGTGCACTTTACGTTTTCGCTTTAACACACAAGTTCAGGTAAGTTAAATCTTTCACCATGGCTTTATTCGGCTGTATTTATGTATTTGTTACATAAAAACGATTCGCGGTTAACGAGGCACCTGTGCTACTGCTTCAAAAGCTTAACACAAAAGAGAAACAATTGAAGAATGGAAATGAGATACAAGTCAAGGGATGATCCCAATCTAAAGCTACTAATAATCGTCGTTTTTTTGCCTTCGAATTAAGCAGCAAGGCCCAGACCCAGGAGTGAGCAATATCTTCACAGCAAAAAGTAGTTTGTTAAACTTTATAATTGGTGCAAAATAGCTGAAGTAGAAGGCAAAACTAATTGGAAATTAGGGGAGAGTAAAGAGTCCATCAGTTTATTCAAGCTTTTCAGGTGCGACAAGTGTCGACACTCGTTAGATCGTTAAATCTGCGATTTCCCCGTAAACTTCTACAGAATAATGTGGGCATGATTTTTCCTACTAATATAATTGCCATTAAATTGTTTATAATCTAGCAGTTATTCAGAAAGGACTTCTTAAAGCCGTAACTCGAACATGTTTTCATCCGGGCGCAAGTACACTGGTTCCGCTTCAGGTACCTTTTCGATAACCATATTTAGTATTTTGAGCAAATGATTACGTACATATTTAGGCGAAGACCGAATTGAGCGGTTGGCAGCTTGTACGGCGGCTTTTGCGGTATGTTTGGCCAAAGGGTAACAGGGCAATAAAGTCAAGGGTTCTTGTTGCACTGTGTCTACTAGTCGGTGCTAAGGTTAGTTATCGTCCGGTGCCTCATTAGATTCTAAATATGAAAATATGAGGCCAGAAAGTCCTATTTAAAAAAAGATCTAAAACGCTGCGTTCATACTTTGCGTCATCGTTTTGAGCGTTTCGAGCGAATAAGAAAGTATTGGTATCGATTTAGCGTTTCGAGCCTACGCCAGCGTTTTCAGCGACTGCCGTACGCTCAAAACGCAGGCGGAAAGTATGAACGCAGCCAAACATTTGTTTCTTCCTTCAAATATTTCGGTGTTTAGCACTTCCTTCGGCGATCTGGACCTTCGCGGAGTTGCTACCTTTCCAGCCTCGAACTGTTGACTTATACTAATCATAGTTGTGCTCGTAGTCAGCAACTTCAATTTGGGGTCCAGTATTCCACACCAGCGGGTCAGGGTCCAGATTGCTGAGGAGGGACCAAAACATTCGAAGAAAGGAATAATTTTGCAAAACTTTTGTATTCGTTTTATAATCTTAAGAGTTTT